TCATCATCATTACGTTAATGATAAATGAAATTATTTTCAGCCTACGTCAATGCAGACAAGCATGACAGATAAACCATCAGAAGAATTGACAAACAAACAAACATACAAACACACCATACAAACACACACATATACAAAAACACACATGAAAACACATACACAAATACAAACACACAAACACGTATATATACAAACACACACACGAACAATATATACAAACACACACACATATAAACACATACACAAATACAAACACACAAACACATACAAACACACAAACAAACATACAAAAGTCAGCTTAATTTTCCAGGGCATAACTTACTTTTTGCAACTCATGCATACCTAAATAATGGACGACTGAAGGAAACTAGTCAAAAAAAAATTTTTTTTTCAGAGGAGTAGGGGAGAGAGAAAGAGAGAAAGAGAGAGAAAGAAAGAGAGAGAAAAAGAAAGAAAGAGAAAAAGAGAGAAGGAAAGAGAGAGAGAAAAAAAAGAAAGAAAAGGAAGAGAGGAAGAAAAGAAGTATGAAAAAAAAAGAAAAACACGAAGATATAAGGAGAGAGAAAGCGAGACAGAGAAAGATAAAACAGTAAAAATAAAAAAAAGCAACTGGAATGAAAAAACAATAAGGCTACTAAAACTACAACTACTACTTCTATTACTACTACTACTACAACTACTTCTATTACTACTACTACTACAACTACTTCTATTACTACTACTACTACTACTACTACTACTACAACTACTTCTATTACTACTACTACTACTACTACTACTACTACTACTACTACTACTACTACAAGTACTACTACTACTACTACTACTACTACTACCACCACCACTACCACAGACGATCGTAAACCAGAAAGGAGCAACATCTAATAACCACTGGCTCGTTCATGCATAGTCGAGTTTGAGTAAATATTATTTCATGTCAAAACTAGTAGTTGTAGTAGTAGTTGTAGTAGTAGTAGTAGTAACGGAAGCGGCAGTAGTAGTAGTAGTAGTGGTGGTGGTCGTCGTCGTAATAGCATTAGAAGTAGTAATTGTAGTAGTAGTAGCAGTAGTAGTAGCAAAAGTAGTAGTAGTAGTTGTAGTAGTAGAAGTAATAGTAGTAGTAGTAGTAGAAGAAGTAATAGTAGTAGTAGTAGTAGTAGTAGTAGTAGTAGTAGAAGAAGTAGTAGTAAATTGCAATAACAAAGTCAAAGAAAAGTTCATACTTTCCGGGCTCCAGCTGTCTGAACAAATCCATTCTGAATGGCGTTTGTGAATTTGCCCATTTCGTGTTCCACCAACTCAAATACTCGATTGCGATTGGTTGATTCAAATTTCGATGATGATGATGATGATGATGATGACGACGATTGTGATGATGATGACGAGAATGATGATGATGATGATGATGATGATGACGAGAATGATGATGACGACGATTGTGATGAAGAAGAAAATGATGCTGGTGAAGAGGACGACGACGACGACGCTGACGTGGCTGCTGTCACAGCAGCTGCTGCTGCTACTGATGATGATAATGATGGTGATGATAAAGGAATTGATGATAGTGACGACAACGACGACGATGATGATGATGATGAGGAAGAAGTTTCTTGAAAATAATTTTTCTCGTACGGGTCGTATATAACTCCATTCGCGTTATTGGTGACATCATTGGTTTCATCATCATCATCGTCATCATCATCAACATGTTTATTATTATTGTTATCATTATTAGTAGTAGTATTATTAGTTGTAGTAACTGTAGTAGCAGCAGTAGCAGTCAGAGTGGTAGCTGTAGAAGCGATTGTAGCAGCAACGATCATAGTAGTAGTATTTACAGTATGAGTAGTAGTAACTATAGCAATAGTAATAGTAATAGTAGTAGTTTTTAAAGTCATAACAGTTGTAGTATTTGAACTTGTAGCTGTAGTAGTAGTTTTAATAGAAATAGTGTTACTATTTAAAGCAGTAGTAGCAGTGGTCACTTTAGCAACTGCAGCTGGTGTTGTAGTAGTGGTAGTAATAGTATTTGTAGTAGTAGTAGCAATTCCATAATTACTATTTGCTAAAACTAGATTAGTATTATAAAGAATATTCTTAAAGGGCCCTTTTAGGACCATATAAAAGACGATAGCGAAGTAAAAACATCTGGCTTTTTTCAAAATCGAAACCGCTGTAATTATCACGAACAATTTCTGGCATAATTTTGATTTTGCTATAATTAATAATAGGAATAATAAAAATGTTGTCGCTAGTAAAATTTTTGTTGATATTCTGATTGTCGATATATCGTGTATAAAAGCGTA